GGGGGAAACTTTTCTTTTTTTTGGATTTATCCATTGTTGGCCTACTAGGAATCTAAAACTCAATAAATCACATACCAGTGGTGTCACACATTGGCAGTTGTAATGCATATTTTGAGTGACAGGGAGCCACAGCAGAGGGATGAAAGAGCCACATGTGGTTCCAGAGACATGGGTTGCTGACAACTAGACATACACAATTCCAGCAACTGTTCTTCATATGCTTTAGCCTCCAGTCCTGTAATCATCTTTGTTGTTCTTCTCTGCACTCTTTCTAGAATCTCAACATCTTAGATCTAGAATCTCAAGAATATCTGCTGGTTAGACAACTCTATTAGAACAATTAAAATATGTAGAGACCAAAGTGGGATAAGAAACCAAAGATTTCTGCTTTTAAACTGTCTGGTTGTTTTCATTCCAGCTTCATCCCTTTCTGAAGAAGAATGCATTTTGCAATTTTTCTGAGATGAAAATGTATTTGGACCAAAATGGAGATCTGATAGCAGATCTGCATATAACGAGCTTGGTGGTTTTCCCTGATGAGAGTAACTATGAAGAGCAAATGGGAAGTTTTGAAAGGCAGAGGCTTATCATCAGCCAAGACAGTCTTTCCTTGCTAAAGTGGTACGACAAGGTGGGTGAACTACACTGATAATTGAATGTGTAGAGTTTAACTCACACTCCCCTACTCCTTCCTTGAGTTCTTATCTTTTGTATTCAACCCAACCTTTATTTCCAACTCCACTATTATTTTTTGCTGCCAATCCATCCCCTGAGTCTGCCAAAACTGCTATCTTTTCTCCAAAAATATTATTCAGTTCCATTTTTCTATCTCCTAGTATATAACATAAAAACCTTGGAGGATCAACATAATGTCTTTTTGAAGTGCCTTCAATTCTTGCTGATGTGCCATCTTATCTTATTTTTAAAAGTCTAAATATTGCTCAATGTTCTGTCAATAGTCTATCACCTTTCAAAGTCTGTTCTTTTTAACTTCCCAAAGCCAGCAAGTTACTTATTCTTAACATTGTCCATCAGGAGATACAATGGTTATAGTTCTTTATATCCTACAGTTAGTTCCATTTGTCCAGTCCAGGTAGTTCTCCAAATAGCTCATTAAATCCACTCTTTAAATTGCTAATTAGTTCCAGTATTCAAAAGTAATTCCATTAAATATCCTCCAGGTTTTCAAGGTTGATCCTTTGGTGACCATAAAGTAAATAAGTATAGAATGGTAGATAATACGGCAGACCTCCAGGTGTTATTTTCTTTCTTTTTATCAAAAATCTCCAAGGTTGTTTTTGTTATTCTAGGAGTGTGACATAATATACATGCAGTCACAAGTAGATGGCGCTTTCAGCTTAAAGTTCAATGTTAAAGTTATTCTGCCAGTTATTTGTTTCAAGTTGATTAAAAAAGGCTTCAATAAGCAGTCAATTATCCAGCATTTTAAAATCTATTCAAATAACTCTATTCAAAGTTATGTCAGTAAGACTTATGCATCCAGTCTTTCTGTATTTTATAGCCTTTACTTATTTCCTGTTAGGGTGCAATTTCTCTCTATCTCTCTTTAGTCACTACTTAAAAGCATTCCAGAGATTCTCTTCCTTGGATTTATTTATTTTTCTTTTAGGGTCAAATCCTAGGTAAAAATTAAAAATCACTCCCTGCTCCCCTCACTGTCCACTCACAATGCTCCAGCACAATCTTAGTTTCTTCGTTGTCCCAGCTTCAAGGCAGCCATAATGGCTGCCTTGTCTTTGTCTTTGGTAAAGAGGGAACAAACTCTGGGATCAGCATGAGAGCCGCCGCTCTCCGTGACCTGCAGGATGCCCCTCCTTTCTATGTCACCCCTACAGGGTGACTTTATCCCCTTAGAGGGGCTCTCCAATGAAGATGAATCAGCATGGGGATGCAGAGCCCGGTTACCCTGCGCTGATTTCGCAATGACATCACTGGAACTCCTTTTCTTTTCTCTATTTCATTCCTCCTGATTTTATTAAGTACAAAAGTCTTTTCTTGCAATCTGATCTGTCAGAAGCAAAGAAAGGAACTAAATAAAGAATTTGCCAGTAGTCATATGTCCTATATCCACTTGGAACTTATTACAAATTTCATCTCTATCTAAATGAAGCCCATAGTCTACTTGATGAATGTTCTTGTTGATCTCTCTTTCCCATGGAATAGTGAGTCCTAATGTATTTTCTTTGGCATTCACTATTTTTTCGTTTAGCCTCTACCTCAATCCATATGTGTAGAAAATTGTCATCCTGGATTTGTCAAGCGGGCTCGAGAAGGAGAACCAGTTTGCTGTTATGACTGCGTTCCTTGTCCAGAGGGGACCATCTCCACTCAGGAAGGTTGGTGACTCTAGAGGACAGGATACCGGAGGCATAGAGAGATCTTGATCAAAGTGCACATTAAAGACACATAGAAGCTTAAATATTTTGCTGTTCCACTTTACATTCAGCAATTTATTCCAGAATAGGAGGAATAAGAGAAAGGTCTTAAAAACAAGGCAAGACGGACATGGTGGACATTTTAGCCAGTCACAATCTCACTTCAAGAGGGATGTGGTGGCTTAGTGGCTAAGATGCTGAGTTGTCAATCAGAAAGGTTGGTAGTTCAGTGGTTCAAATCCCTAATGGCCCATAAGGGAGTGAGCTCCCATTATTTGTCCAAGCTTCTGCTAGCCCAGCAGTTCGAAAGCATGTAAAAATGCAAGTAGAAAAATAGGAACCACCTTTGGTGAGAAAGTATCAATCTTCTGTGCACCTTCAGCATTTAGTCATGCTGGCCATATGACCACATAGACATCTTCGGACAGCGCTAGCTCTTCAGCTTTGAAATGGAGATGAGCACCATCCCCTAGAATTGGGAACAACTAGCACTTATGTGCGAGGGAAACCTTACAGTTCCAGAGCCAACATTTTCCCAGTTTAGTCAGCTTTCATTCCAAAACATATAGTTCTATCAATTCCATCAAGACAAAGATAGTTCAACCCCTCAGGGAATTCCTGAAGCATCACTTTCTAGACATTTCCTGATAGGAAGGACTGCAATCACTGCAGAACAGTGCCCCAGGGGTAGTAGAAAAATAGGTACCACCTTTGGTGGGAAGGTAACAGCATTCCATGCGACTATGTTGTTTAGACATGCCAGATAAATGGCCACAGAGACATCTTTGGACAGTGCTGGCTCTCCGGCTTTTAAACAGAGACAAGCACTGCCCCCTAGAGTTGTGAAAAACTAGCACATATGTGTGAGGGAATCTTTACTTAATCTCAGTTCTACTAATCAGTTTGAAGCCATCTTTCCATGTTTACCTTTGCTAGGAACAACTAAGCACTTTGAAAGTTGAGGAACAGTTTCAGATCAATGGCTTGTTCTCACTCAAATCGACTTTACATTATTGGGCAAAGAATACAAGCCATTGAACCTATGATGGGCAGCATATAAACTTAGCAAACAAATAAAATACATCACTCAATCAATTGAATAACTTGTCAACATTTACTAAGATTGTACAGCCTTATAAAGAGAAATGTGTAGTCACGAGGACCATGGAGTGAAGAAGATGGATTCAAGGGACAAAAGAAATCTAAATTGAGCACCAATCATAAAATCCATTAAGGGAATTTCAGTGTGAGAGGCAGGATGAAACTAAATTTTCTGTTAGCAGGGATAAAATCTGCCTGTCTCCTTGCCTACACTCTAACTATCCATCTTGTAGATTGAGAAGTAAAGCACCAATATTGCTTATTGCCCAGTTCAACAATCCTGGGTTCACCATTTATTCTGGGTGGCATTCTATAAAGCCAACAATAAAATATTTTGCAAACCCAAATTAAATCAATGAAACCTAAAAAAAACAAAAAACAATAAGAGCAGCTCTGTTGAACAAATCACATTTTAAGGGGATTTCCAGAAAAACCTCAAATGTTGGAGTTAATCTCAACTTGAAGTACCATATTTTTTGAAATATAAGATGCTCCAGAGTATAAGCCACACATTAGTTTTTGGGGAGGAAACAAGAAAAAAAAGTATGCCTCTGCCTACCAGCATCCATTGGTAATCATCTATCTAGTGTCCTTGTAGCAAACATCCTGGTCAGCTTCAGTACATTATTGCAGCGTGATTGAGCATGAGCAGCTGATTGGCAGTTGCATCAGCCTCCCAGAATACCACCAAACAGGTGTTCCAAGCTGCGGGGATGGACACAACCCATCGTCGCCTCCATGCATCACGTTGTTACACCCATTCCAGGCTGCCAGGATCACCACAGCATATTTCTGCTGATCGCCCCCTCCGGGCATTGCAATTTTGGCCTCCGTGCGTTGGGTTTTGACCTCCACATGCTGATCCCCACCACCTGGAACACACTGAAAATGCGACATGCAGAGGTCAAAAACAGGGCATGTGAAGGCTGAAAAAGTGATGCAGGAGGCCGAAAAAACAATGCTCGGAGGCTTAAAACAGCTGAACAATGAGGGCCATAAGGTTATTGTACCATCAACAAAGGTGTCTTTCTGGAACAACACTGAGGATTGGGAATGAGAGGCAGACTTTGGTAATGTTTCTCTTCTTCACATATGGTTTCAGTTGGTGTTGTTGGAGGACAGAGTTCAGGTTCTTGGTCCCTTCTCTTTTCTTTTTTATAATGTGTATTAAACTGATAGGTGAATCATTTGGAAGGAGAGATTGGTGCATAAAAGAAACTTTACTTTCTGTTTCTACAGATACTGAAAAGTGCACAAAGTGTCTAGATGATCAATATCCAACTGAGAACCGAGTCCAATGTTTCCCCAAAAGAATAACCTTCCTGTCCTATAAAGAGAATCTGGGAATCATTTTGATCTCTTTTGCCCTACTCTTGTTCCTAACTACAGGCTTTGTTTTAATCATATTCATTAAATACTTAGAAACTCCCATTGTCAAAGCCAACAACCGGGACCTTTCCTTCATCCTCCTGGTCTCTCTCATCCTTTGCTTCTTGTCTTCTTTTCTCTTCATTGGACGTCCAAGGAAAGCCACCTGTCTTCTCCGACAAACAATGTTCAGCATTGTCTTCTCAGTAGCCTTGTCTTCTATGTTGGCCAAAACAATCACAGTGGTGCTGGCCTTCCTGGCCACAAAACCAGGAAACAGAGTAAAGAGATGGTTGGGGAAGAGCTTGGCCAACTCCATCATCCTTTCTTGTTCTGGTGTCCAATTTCTCATCTGTGTCATGTGGCTGGGAATATCACCCCCATTCCCTGACTCTGATCTGCACTCCCAGCCTGGAGAGATTATCCTTCAATGCAATGAAGGCTCTGTCACCTTGTTTTATGTTGTCCTTGGCTATATGGGCTTCCTGGCTGCCATTTGCTTCACTGTGGCTTTCCTGGCCAGAAACCTGCCTGGGGCCTTCAACGAAGCCAAGCTCATCACCTTCAGCATGCTGGTCTTCTGCAGTGTCTGGATCTCTTTCCTGCCCACCTATCTGAGCACCAAAGGAAAGTCCATGGTGGCCGTGCAGGTCTTCTCCATCTTGGCCTCCAGTTCTGGACTGCTTGGCTGCATCTTCTTCCCCAAGTGCTACATTCTTATTGTTAGACCAGATCTAAACACTAAGGAACATCTAACCATAAAAGTAGGGCAGTGATAGTGAAATAATTTC